AAAAAAATAAAAGTAAAAAGATGAAAATAACAAGTTTCAAAGCAATTCAGTCCTTACCATGAGCTTACTTTGTTCTCTGGAATTTTGCTTTCTGCAAGCAATTACTGTGACTTAGCAGCATTCATTGCTTATCAACTTCCTTCCAAGGTGCTGCTCTGTCTGTAAGCAGGAGGATATGCTAATCTTAGACACAGTTTCTATACCTATTAATCTACAACTTAGCCAAGGGCCAAAAACCTCAAAATCAACAGCATTCTCATTGACAGGGCCCTGGAGCTCTAGGTGGCTTTTATCCTCCATACATGTCACCACATACATTTTCAGATGTAAAACACTGCACCCTTTGAGAGTTGGTGCGCAGCTCTTGTACCTTATTGTGTGCTAAAGTGGCCCCTAATCCACACCCCACTTCTGTCTGCCTCTTTACATTGAGAACTGAAAAGTGAAGACCTTATTGGACCCTCAATTCTGCAACTCCATGGCAGTGGGAGAAGTTCCCAAAGCCCTGATGACAGGTGAGAAGCTCTTCACACACTGCAGCAAGGACCACGATCATCATGGTGCCCTTCTGCCCTTCCGCATCTTCAAGTCTAGCTGGGCCTAGAGCTGTTGAGAGAAAAGGAAGCACCTTTCTGATTTTTTCTCTTGCTGTCCCACATACATGAGGACAAGAAAAAAAGGCAAAGAAAAAGGAAAAGGAAATCCTCTTTCCTGAGCTCCATCCAGGCACCACCCACGTCATGGGGTAAGGGCCTTCCCTTCTGGGAAAGCCAAAGGCCACAAAAGCCTAAGTGGCCACTCGCAGGGTCTACACAGAGCTGCCAATTCCAACACTTTGGTGGAGTCCATTGGGGGAAACTTGCCTTCATGGGACTCTGTATAGTAGAGTGGAAAGCATGGAGGATCATGTTATGGTTTTTCTTTTCTCTGCAAGGGGTGGTTTTCTGAGACAGGGCTTCACTATATAGTCCCGGCTGGCCTCAAACTCACTGCGATCCTACTGCCTTGGCCTCCCAAGTGCTGGGATACAGGCGTGCACCAACACACCCAGCTAGTATAAGGATCTTAAGGCGACAAAAGCCTGGGTTTGTATTTTCAATTTTCCACTTACGAAGAAGCATTAAGAAAATTTCCCTTTCCAGACCTTTGTTTCCCTATGGGAATAGTAATAGCTCTCTTAAAGTTACATGCAAGGAGACACCAACCAATGCAGTCACTTGTGTCTTCCACTACTAGCATATAATACTATGCTAAGGCACTTAAAAGTAAGCAGAGACCACACATGGTCTGTAAGTTAAATCATGTTGTGAAGCTTTTTTCCCCTTATTACAAATAGAAAACAAAATCTTTTCCCTAGACAAATGTGAAATTTCTCACTTATACCAAAAGAGAATAGTCCAAGTATTACTTAGCATAAAAATCCTGTGAAACAAGCACAGTGGGTGCCTGCACACGAAGTTTAAACAAGCATGGTGTGGGAGATTAACTAAGGATCAGCAACTGTGAGTTAAGCAAGGGAAAGGAGCGCAAAGCAGGCCCCCCTGGGAGGGAGAGGAGGGATGGGCAGTTTCACGTGTGTTGACAGTGTCAAGGTTTTCAGAAACCCTGGAAGGAGGGGAAATGTGGTAGGTCACTGAACAACCTATGGCTCTACATTTGCAAATCACTCTGTGGAATAAAAAGAACAAGGTTATCAATGGATAATTACAGGACTGGAAACAGCAACTTTGGTCAGCTTGGCAAGAAGAAAGAAAGAATGCACTCTGCCTGGCTTTTGAACTAGGGACGGAAAAGAGTACTGCTTTTGTTTTGGCTTTCAGTTACAGTCCTGAGAGAAAGAGGTGCCCAGGAGAAATATCGGAGCGGAACCTAACTACATAACTCCGAGAGCAAACACACAGGAAAGGGGAACAGAGTCATCAAACAACAACGTGGGTCCAGCCCACAGGGAGACCTGGAAAGGCAAGGCGAGGCTGGGAGAAAGCGTGGCAGGCTGCAGAGCAGCTCTGAGGAAATCTCGCGGGGCTGGTAGCAAAGTGCAAGTCCAAGGCTCCTGTCACAGGTGTCTCCTGCCTCCCAGGGGCAAGTCCTGCACAGTATTCCTCCCATTCCTCAGCCAGCTCTGGGAGGAAATGTGGTCTCGATGTAGATGCAAGCAGAACTCAGAGCTGGGCCCAGCGCG